TCTGCTATCCGAGCGTGGTTACTTCTGACAGACAAGAAGTTAAATTTTGACAACCTTGGCTAAGTTCTTCTCGAAAACCGGTCGATCGACTGCACAGGGATTTCGAACATAGAAAATAACTTTCGAAATGTCACTTTTAACCACGAGTTAAATTTAACTCGCCAAACGGTTCACAGCCATAACATGTGCTGAGATTTTTAGCTGTCCCATGCGCTAAGCCGAACGTACCGAAGTAGGCCGAAGTTTGCCAATCAAGGTGTCAATATCCCACGAGCTTGGCAACCCTGAGGCTATAATGACATCTGTGATTGTGTTTAACTTTTCATTTTCGGAGCGGGAGGTGAAAGAGAAACCGGAAGTTATCAAACCCATACGGTGTTCAAGCAAACTCGACTGATCCATAAGATTCTGACTCGATTTGAATTATTTATTCATTTCAGGTGTGCAGAAACGAAGTCGTAACCTGATCGATGGAGGAAGAAATGCCACCGCCATCCTTTGAAATCCTCTAAAGCAAACAATCAACTCGAACGGACGGAAAGATGAACGACGGTCATGTAATCGACGCGTCGAGTTCCTAGTGCGAAATCAGAGCCACACACTTAAACATTACTATTTTTACACGAGACGTAATCCATCTTTGACGTAAATTATGGAACGTAAACAAACATGTAATGTAAAATTAAGTGTTCCCAAACTGAAACATACGCAACTCAACGAAAAGTACGATTGAATGAATTTATTTTCTCGTTTCTTCCAACTGATTCTTGTGTCATTTGGGCCGCTTGCATGTGTCGGTCTCAGGGCACCGAAATTTACATGACTTTTTTGGTAGTGTGCATCCGTGCAAGAAGATAACTCGTAATCTCTGGATGAGCCGAATCTGGGAATCTATGTTGCACAGTGTAGTTGGCTCATCTGCACGTCCATAGGATATTGCGAGCCTTTTGCTAAACAGCAAATTGCTTAGGGTCTTCAACCGGGAACCGCTGAACGCACCAAAATTCACTCTGCAGCGAGCCAAATGTTCTAAATTCAGCAAAGCTTTACAGTTGTGCGATCGGAAGGCCACCCATCGCACCGGGGCCTCTTGCAATGAACAAGTTGAACTAGTGAGGTGAATCTCCGTGCAAATCAAATAGAGAGTCACCACACTAGCAACAGAGAGTCGCACGACTCGTAGAATAGGCCTGGGAGAGTCACGTCACACGACGTGACTTTGGTCATCTCACAAGTAACAGAATAGGCCCGAATGGCAAGCGATAATATCTGAGGAAACACTCAGGGGAAAACGAGAAAAATTACATACCGGAAGATCCTCGGCAAAACCGATATTCGAACCTTACCGAAAACCCCTGTGATAACCGTTTCGTCTTTATTGATTATTCGGTGTTGGGTCATTAAGCCGGATTACGTTAGGCTGGAGGTCGATAGGCTGATGTACATTTATCAGTTATTATACATAATAAATGTGTAAATGTAGCTCGATTCTCATAGAATATCTTGCCCTATCTTTTGTTTCAAATATAAATTTGACCATCGCATGAAGCAGGATATTTTTCCGGCCGTTCCCATTTCGGTTATGGCTTTGTTAGTTTAGTTTAGTTTTCTTTATTAACAAGACTTTCAGCCAATATATGGGTATGGTGTACGTTTTGCGCACCTGTGTCAGGAACATCTCCATTTGTAAGAAATTAACTGCAATGGAAAGCATAATTTTCAAGGGTTGTTTGGAAGAAAGAATCGACAGACTTCTTCAAAATGTCTTCTACAGCCGGCACAATTCAGTCACCGTTCAGAACAGATTTGTCCCTGCAGAGATACGTACTGCAAACGTGCATAAACTGACAGTTTATTTTTGAACTCCATGTACTTACCAACCTGTTTACATCAACGGCAAACTTAACGATTTCGCCGATCGCATTCCGAACCAGATCTTCGAGTAGGCAATGAGCAACCCTCGTTACGGCCGTCTTGACAAAACCACGAGCCGCAGGTGTTTTCACTGCGAATCAAGTGAGATGGACAGAGTTTTGTTAGTTTGATTGGATTCATGATGCAAAAAATACATACAGATTTTCTAAATGTGACATGTCACAATCCACGAACTTATTCGGCTTTACATTGGAGTAAACAAAGGATTCATTCTTAGCAACGATTAGCAAAACGTCAACGCTTGACAGTGATGCCATTTTATATCATATTTTATGTATTCTACTTCTCAACGTATGCCCTAACGTGCCGAAAAGTGTGCCAAGCTGTGTTTCGGCACAGTGTGAAGAGTTGATTACCCCTTGAACACAGCCTTAGTAGTCCCTTCCACCGCCTACTAGTATCCATAAAACGTCTTCCCGCTTGTATGCATGTCGATGAAGACGACTCGTTACTAACCTCTAATTAGTCACCGCATTGTATCCAATCATCTACTTCGGAAGAACGCATCAGTTGAAAGTTGATCGGCTGCATTCTCGAGGGCAAACTCAAGGGCATGACTAACAATTTTCGAACATCGCATTCTTCATCCCGAAACTGAAAGTCCCATCCATGTCAACTGTTTCGAGCGATAATTCCAAATTTCAATTCCTACATGTCAAAGTACCCGGAAATCATGTAAACTTAATCCAGTATTACCAAACGGGCGACCGTCCGGTCCATCGAACGCAGAAGCAATAGCACGTACAATAGCTCCGAAAAACTGTTATCAACCCTCACGTAGGCCCACATAATAACCGAAAGCGATCGCCATGCTCACGACACGACAAAACCTTGAACGGATCCACTCTGCAGTGGCGGCCAGCGGCTCTTTAATTAAAGCCGAAAAACCCATACCCGATAAGCTCCACCGCTCGACCTACCAAAGATAGGCACTTACTCAATGCCATTCCACCGCCTCGATCGCTCGAAGCTCGAAAAAATTTCCGATAGATACCCGTACCACTTACAACATTACGTCGACGGCGACCAGAGCAGGAACAAAGAATCGCGCCCAATCGGTTATCGCACCTCGATCATTTCCCCCTGCAGAAGCGAAGAAGCAGCAGCGGTGAGAAACCAGAAATTCCACCCCTGCAAGCGAATCGACGACGACGACGACGACGACCGGCTGTCGGATCGAATCATGAAAGCGCAACGCACTCGACGTCGCTTGCTGCGATTGTCTCGATCGATGGTCACTTGGATTGCAATCTTGGCGGTCCGGGATCCGAGGGGATCGCCAATGGCAGTTCGAATCAAACGATCATAGTGCGGGAGGGGGTGGGGAAAATTGCGCGAGCGGTCCTATGTCCGGAAAGGATACCTACCCAGGCTCGCGCGCTCTCGCTTCGGGTTCGTTCCGATTTCTTCAGGAGACACACAAGGAAAATACGAGGCAAAAGGGCGCAAACGGAGTAGACCGGTTGCGTTATGAGCGGCACACGAGAAGGAGAGGGGATTGCCATCTAGCCACGGTGAGTTTGGATGGGAGAGCGAGATGACAGGAGATCCGTACCCGGGTGAAGCTGTCTTGCTTTATACCCCTCTTGTGCAGTTGGTTTTCCAAGGGATTGATGACGGGAGAGTTGATGATGGAACTGGTTGTTGCTAATGATGATGGGCTGCTGCGTCCGTACGAGGCTGTCGGGGGGTGTTGCGAGCAAGAGAGAGAGAGAGAAAGTGAGAACTGCCATCATTGATGATGATGGTGGTGACGGAAAGTGAAATCGGAGAGGGAGAGCACCGCGATTGTGATGAAGGAAGGAAGTGAGAGAGTTTTGTACAAGGGGTGAAAGGCTGCGCAGGAGCGGGTTTTTTTGGGTTCTGAGAGAAGAACGTGTTGTGCTAGGTCAGCAAACACCACCACCACTGCAGGGAACGAAGAGGATCTTGCGAAGAGAGCGAGAGAGGATCGTTGCTTGTTGGTAGCAGCAGCAGTGGGCGAGAGAGGATGTAGAGCAACGGTATCGAACGTGACGATAGGACTCCGGTGTGCGGTGGTATTGGTGCTCCTTGCGGTTCATGATGGAAGTCATGTGGCAGCAGGATCCGTGCGGACCACAGTGTCATCTCGTCATCCATCGAAAGTGAAACTCGTTTCGGAGCAGGACGGGAACTGATTCCTTGCATTTTTTTTTTCATTACCAGTTACGTTCCGGTGATGTGCTCTGATTTCGTAACTTCATTCAACTCTCATCTCATCGCGTGCCACCACTACTGGCAGCCTTTCTCTCTCTTTCGCTCTTCGCTGATACAGTCCATCTCAGTCGCACCGTTGTCGGTCGGATTGGCCGCTGCTGCTGCTGCTGGACATCAACAACCACGCGACACCTCATCATCCCTCCTTCCACTCGCATTCGCGCTCCGGAGCATTGAGCATAGTAGTAGTAACATACTGGTCGCTCATCGAAGAAGGCGGCGGCGGTGCGACGTCTTCAACAACAGATCCAAAGAAGCGACAACGGCGGCCAAAAAATTTTAATGGTTACTTACCTCGCGTGCCATCGACGACAACCGTCAGTCGTGTATTGATTTTCCCGCCGTTCAGACGTGTACGACGTTCTCCGGTGCGCCTCAGTAGCAACTTGTTCCGTGTTTGAAAAACAATTACAAAACAGTGAATTCTAGTGTGATCGGAGAAACAAAGCAAGCGACGTAAAATTACAATTAATCAAACAAAAATTATAAACAAGGCACGGCCCATAGTTCCTCCCGCGAAAATCGAAACGAAAGGAGTAGTACCTCCTGTTCTTAGTAGTCGGTAGTAGATAGTAGCAGCACCACCCGCCCCAAACAGTTGAATGTGATACGGTAGCAGCAAGTGAACAACCCTTCCTCCCTTCCCTCAATTGAACAAGCGGATTAGAAAACTGTGAACAACACAAATGACAACAACGAACGAGCGGCAGCAGTGCGTGTTTTCGGAACCGATATCGCCGCAGTAGGCCAAACTGATAGAAGTCGACTGCCGACGACAGTGAGCCAGTTAAGTGAGTGAGTGAGAGTGAGCATTAAAGACGGAGCCTAATTTGCATGCGGCTGCCCGGCTGCTGCAAGATACGATAGAGAAGCTGATTTTCCACGGTCCATCCAGGCAGGCGATGGCCTTGTCATTGCTGCAGGAAGCCCAAACAGCGCAAGGTGAGTTGAGTGCTTCCCTTCTTTTTCCCCTGCGATTTGGGGGGAGTTTTGATCTAGTAAGGCTTGGCGCGGAATGGTGGACGATTGGTTAAGGTTGGGCTACACTTGCGGTTGGATAGAGGTGGACCACTTTGGCAAGCAGTTTTGGCGTGACTTACTACGATCTCGAAATATTATTTTACTTCAAAGCTCGAGGGGTAGTAAACGACATTTTAACTGTTCGAATTGAGTGGTTAATTGCTTGACTTACGGAGTAGATAAATTCGTTGAAAAAAGATGCCAATTAAATAATTGTCTATGTTTTTGATATTTTGTTAATCTAACACTTTTGGTTAAAAATTCAAGGTTTGATAAACCTAGGAATGAAATGTTAATCAACTGAATTTGTAAAACAAAATATATTTGTAATCAGCAAACACAGAATAACTTTCTATATGAAGCCAAATTTAACATACTCTTTGGTAAAGTGTGCTTTTGAGTATGATATGATCTGAACGTTGAGGAACTAATTGCAGATTATGCAAACAAATACCGGCATACAATTCAAAGTAAATTCCTCCAAACAAGTATTTTAATCTTCAAAATACGGAATATACTGTGGAAAGCGACCCAAATTTAGCAACAGATACGTATTTCGTTTACTGCTTGCAAACTTCTTCAGTATCTAGTCATAGACTTGACTAAGGATTGTTAAAAGTGTTTCTAAACGCAAAACAAATTTCTCTTACTTCCAATGCAAGTTTGGATTTATTACATCCTCTGCATATGTTTCATACAACAAATGTAACGGCAGTTCATGAGATGATTTTCAAGGCGGGATGCATTTGGCGAAACAAACTTTGTTCGAATAATAAGCCAATATAAAAATAACAAAATTATTATAAAAGCCTTTCGGTGACTACATATCACGAAACTTTACAAAATCGGCATACTTTTCAAGCAAATTTGTAATAGAATCTTACATTTTCTCTTTTTTTGTTATAGTTCAGATAAATACGAAAATGTTGGCATCCAATTTCTTTGAACCAACGTTTTGAACAAGAAAATCAAAATACTTATCCAAATTCGAGTTTACAAAGTGTAACTGGGCCTTAATTTCAAGCCAAATGAAGAGTGTAGAATTGCATTTACACCTTTTTAGTGTCACGAAAGTGTATTCTTTTCCTCATTGGCGTAACTATGGGGGCTAGGAGGAGTTATACACCCCCTAGGAGTAATGAAGACCCCCCCCCCCCCCAGCCCTATAACTAATGCAGCCCCCTCGAGAACTTAACTGCAATTACTTATTTTCCTTACACTTCAAAATTGATCGCTGATTGTCTAATTGTGAAGTTCGAAAAATATATTTAGCACCTTCCCCCTAGGATTTTGCCTTAGTTACCCCAATGCTTTTTCTTCAAAAATGATAAGTCAAAAAAAAAGAAAAAGAATAAAATCCCAACCGAAGGAATTACATAACTAACATGGTTTCCTTTGGTGATGCTGAACATCAAATTTACCGACGGCAATCTAGTGTTGGGTTCAAGAGGAGCCAAATTGTATCACTTTTTCAACTTGTCTTCTATTGCATCCTGATGAATGAGGGCGTCTTAGTGGAATACCTGTAGAAAGAGAAAGAGAGTGAGATAAGGATTAGTAATTTCCATTTAATTCCACTACCTTATTTGCTTATCCTTTACTTGTATTAGTACAAGACGACAGTACGACTTGTATTAGTACAAGACACTGATGAAGTCTGTACATTGTAGACGAAATACGCGTATCTGTCAAGGATAAGCAAATAAGGTAGTGGAACTACATATAAATTACTAATCCTTTTCTCTCTCTCTCTCTTTCTTTGCCTTCTATTGTCTATTATAAGATTTGTGAGCTAATAATGTCGAGAGAATTAACAAATTTAAAACCCCATTCCAAGGCTGCTGGCATTGGATTGGATTGGTTTCATGGAGTCAACATTTTATGATCGGTGAATAATCACTCATCATCAGGTATGAAGTACTCACCAATCATAAAATCGCTGATTGTGAATCTCTAAAAACGAAATTGACTGGTTTCATGAGTCATACACATTTTGTACAACCTCTTCTTGTAGCTTACAAAAGCTTCAAAATATCATCAATATTATGATTTCCTAAGTTTGAAAAAATTGTCAATCCAGCTTTTCACGAATGAGCGCCATAAAATTTGGATCACCCCTTTCTGACATATGAGGATTACCATTTATGGCAAAGACCAAGATGGCCATGATTGAAGAAAATTTTCAGCAGTTTGACAGCGCAAGCAAAGCAAATCTTATTTCAATTTAGGTTGAATCGATTTCGTGGGGCCTCCCTTAGCTCAGTTGATGAAGGAACAGCTACAAAGCAAGAGCACGCTGGAGGTGGCTGGGTTCGATTCTCGGTCCGGTCCAGGAATTTTTCGAGTTGGAAAATTTCTCGACTTGCCACACAATAATACTAATTCCAAGAAGTAAGTCACTCAGCACATTGTGCCGAAATTAGATTCGACACAGCTTGGGCACATCCTTCGACATACCTTCGGCACAATCTCGTAGGCATTGGATTGTTGTAAATAAAATGGGAGCACTGCTGGACAACTGTCATTGAAGTTGTTCACAGCATTACGTGCTGTTTGACTGTATATTCAGGAATATCCTCTAATTGAATATACCAGAGGAACTCAGAGACCAGCAGTTCACTTAAAGATCTAAATACGAAATGCAGGTTTTAGAGTGCGCTCAAGAGAAAGAGGCAGTTAATCAAACCCCATTAGTACCCTTAATTCACCAAAATTTTGCACACCCGCCACTTCCCGCGTCATTATCAATGCGTTTTATCCTAGCGATTTCAAACCAAAACATTCAAGGTGGCAGAAATACCGGGTTGCCGGGATGGGTATTTTACAAACAATCGCAGCTTACTCTATGACCGGCACAATCGGCACACCTGCGGCACACTGACAATAACGATGACCCAAGATTCGTGTGCGGAGTGACCTACCCCTTGACTAATTCAAACATGGTACAGGCATCGAAAACTATCAATTGATAACTGTGGAAGTGCATCTAGAACACTAGAGCACGCAATAATCTACTATGCGATAAGCGATTTCGTGCATAAATTAATTTTAATCGTCGTTTAGCAGTGTCCTAATTTCTTAGGAAGGACGAGGACATTCAAGTAGTGATTTGATAAAGGGCAAGCATTAGGGTACTTCATTTAAAAAAAAAAATGATTGTCTGATAGGCCGCCCTTACATTTTCAATCCCTTCTAAGGATACGGAAAAAGTATCAAGTCCTGCGTATTGCTCTTCCAGAGATTTATGTTCCCTTTGAAAGTCCTGCATGGAGACCAAAGCGAAATGAAAATCTCATACAAAATACTACATTTTTCACCTGCGTGAAAAACGTAATTCGCAAATGTTTCACTTCGCTTGGAACCAGATACGATCCAGCGAAACCGAATTTTGTGGATCGCATCTTTTTCGCTTACGTTTACTTTTTTCACGCATTCAGCTGCTTGTGAAAAGAAACAGCAGCTAAGCGAAAAGTTGACGTTTCAAGAAGAGCGTATCTGTCAGATGTTCACCTCACTGCACTGAACCAAAGCATCATCCTTTGATCGAATGATTATTACTTCACCCAAGCCCTATTACTATTATTAGATGATTTTGAGATGATTGTCATTCAGTTCTTCTTCTTCTTCTTATTCGCATTTCAAGCTTATTGCATATCGCATATTAGCTTATTGCGTGCTCTCAACTTAGTGTTCTAGATGCTTTTCCATAGTTATTAATTGAGAGCTTTCGATGCCTGTACCATTTTTGCATTGATATGATTGTGTGGCAAGTCCAATCATACTTCTATGCCCAGGGTCGAGAAATTTTCCAACCCTAAAAATTCCTAGACCGAACCAGGAATCGAACCCAGCCACCTCCAGCATGGTCTTGCTTCGTAGCTGCGCCTTTACCGACTGAGCTAAGGGAGGCCCCATTCAGTTCATCATCTGTTAAAACCACAACAACTTGGATGCTTATCATCCTAATCTAGAATGATTTAAGTTCAATTCTTGAGATCTAATTAAATACTTTTCTTATTTATATCGAGCGATAGTTGTAGTAATATTGACTATTGAAAAGAGGTAATACTTTAAATATTACAATGCTTTATTTTTATATAACTATAAGTTGAGTCGATCTTACAGTCCGTGCACCTCCCAACTGGAGTAAGCATTGGATGTGATTCCTATTCGCGATCGGCTTCAATCCAGTTGCACCCTCCGCTCCGCTCCCGCAGTTCGTGGTCCCCGTTGTTATCGGTGATCCTGATTACCGAACACCGATCCCGTCTGCAGTGCCTTTAGGAAACTGCCCATGACACGTTCCCGCGTCCGAACGGCATCGTTGTACCACAGACAAACAGACGTAACTCTTCATTGTGTATCTTTGTTGATGCATTTAACGGTAGATTTGAATATTATCAGTTCCGCGATCTACTCGCCGCAGCGCTAGCATCAGATCACTTTGACGTTCCTATACATTCTATAGAACTTTCATGCAATATTGTTTGCGAGGTAGCGAGCAAGCTTGTTTTCCGCGAGAAGCCCGAGAGATGTCGTTACTGAGGTCCTATATTTTGATATACTATGTTATCAAGAAAAACTTTTTCAAAGAGTTACGTCTGTTTGTCTGTGGTTGTACACCAACTTTCGTTGTTACCGTTCCTGCATCTCCTGCTGGGAACGTTCTTCGGCGTCTTCACGAAAGTGGTTCAGAGAACTTCTTTCTGTGCACAATTATGTGGCGAACAATCACCTGCACTGCACTGTGGTGTAATTATCGTAAATTGAAACCATATTAATTAATTTAATATAAACCAAAGTATTAACTAATCTAACACTTACCCATCGTTGAAGATAACAGCCTACAAAAACTCAAAATTCAATTTGAAAAATTAAAGTTTCGTCCTTTTAAACATGTCTGTCAGATACGTCGCTGTCGA